AAACAAAATAATAGCTTACAGTACAACAACAACAACAATATTGACAACCAAAAATTTTTAGTTGATTGTTTTCAACAAAATGCAATTTAAAACCTAGGATTGAAAACGACCCCGTCTTGGATTTTTCGAAACAAATGGTAATTTTGTAATTTCACTTTGATTGGGATATATTTTGAAATGTTTGCTTTTGGTCTTAATTGGTGTGCCTTTGGGGCCCGCTTTCTTGGTTTTGTCCCCCGACTCTCACTCTCAAACTCTCGCATGGCTCTCTTTCTCTCCCAGCTCACTCTCATTTATATCTCTTCTTCCTCGGCAAACACCAAGATGGTGCTATGGCAAACCCCACCGAAAACCACTATATCCACGGTGAGGCACCCAACTTACCACCACCTGGACCGCGTCATCACAAACCCCAAACAAGGGACCTAGGAACTCTACAATGGCAAAGGCCACTTTTCACCCTCTCCTTGACAAACTCCAACAAGCTTCCATCACCTCCGACGTAGGTGAGCTTTGTAAACACTATAAACCTTTCCCTTTTGCCTTCATAACTCGTTTTTGATCGTATTGGTGTTTTGTGGACATCGAGACATTGCAGAAACACCTCGAAAAGGCTTTCCCAATTTTTCGACGAAAACCTGTGCCTTCTAGGCCATTTTCCAACCAACCCCAACCACATCACGGCTCCAAATTAGTACGAATCTCTTCCTATCATCTTAAGCTTCATTCTGACTTTTGAATCATTGCAAATGGTGTATAAATGAGTTCAAATAGAGCTCGGGAAGCGTTGCCCAAATTTTGGCCGAACCTACGGCCTGAAACGGGGTCAACCCGACCTAAAACCAAAACCGAATCTGAACCCAGCCTAAAACCAAACAAACCAAGCCCAACCCAGCAACCCAAAACCCAGATCTAAATCAGATTCGACCAAGATCTGACCCGACCTGAGTCGGATACCTGTTTCTATGGTTGGTGCTTGAGCCGCGAGTGAGTCAGCGCGTAAATGTTGCCATAGGCCAGGGTGTGAAGCACACACGCCTTCACCGGAGGTACTATGACAGCGGCGCTGGTGACTTTTTCGGCCAACTTTCTAGCGACTCAATTTGCCATGTGGTGACGCGTGGCCTTCCGGGCCGCTACCCCATGGCAATGCCTGTGGCGACAAGTGGGGGGACCTTGGGTCCCCCTTAGTTTTTTCGATGTCCTGAATCTTTTTATGACTTCCATTTTCCCAAATTCAATCATTATAATATAGTTTTATTAATTGGTCCCTTTATGTGCTTACATGTGTTTGTTAGTGATGTTTCCGTCTTCTCTTGTTTGCACGACTCTTCGACAACAGAGTAAGGTGAGTGGAACCCTTTCCAAATTTCATGATTTTACTATTAGAAATGCATACATGAAAAGCATGATTTTATGATTACGTTTTAAGAAACGTTGATGAGTAAATTGGATTTTATGATTATTGAAATATCATGCTTTGTCAAATTTAAGTACTTTGGAAGATTTATGATTATATACTATGAATATGATTTATGATATGATGCTTGAGCTATTGAGCTCTGATGAGATATATGTTGGAAATATTATGTTTATAATTTTCTATGTTTATATATATACCTACGGGTGAATGATATCATTAAATGGCTTCGGTCAGGTGATGCAGGGGCCTACAAACGAATGATATCCATTAAATGGCTTTGGTCGGGTGATGTAGGGCCTATGAGTGAATGATACTTATAAATGGCTTCGATCGGGTGATGTAGGGCCTTCAGGCGAATGAAGAATGAAGAGTTATATATACCTACTGGCGAAAGATGAAGAGCCATCGGGCGAATGAAGATATATATATATATATATATATATACACACACACACATATAAAGTGCTTAGTTAAATTTACGACGCACTTTATATATGATATATGTTTTGTAAAGGTTTTATGGCATGTTAGGGTTTTCAAAAAACCTATTACTTATTATGCTATATGAGTTTTCTAAGCTGGGGGTTAGTACGTTGAAGAATAACTATTTTAGTATTACTTATATATAAACTTGGTCCACTCATATTTTGTTTTACCCCCCTCAGGACTTAGAATTGAGGCGTACAATCCCTGCATTAAGGCACTCCCGCATCAGTATCTTCAAGTCCTCTCGGTGTAGGACCCATTCCTTTGTTCGTACATTCTTAATATTCCTTTTACAGTGTTCTGGATTAGTTGTATGCTCTGAACATGTTCCACAATTGCATATTCATTATAGTAAAATTTACGAGTTTATTTATGTTCATTCTTTCTTCATAGTTCTCATGCAAGTTAGTATGGCTTCGTCACCTTCGGGTGTTGGCCAGCACGTGCCTACCCTGGTGTTTGGAGGATATCGGGGTCGAGTGTGTCAGAAACAAAGACAAACATGTCATAGACCAAAGAAGAAAATCTAATATAAAAAATTGGATTCATTTTTCTCCTAAGATTTGCAAGAAAATCTAAAGCAATATTACAATGCAATATGGGAATTTTAAAACATATCTATTTGTACTGTATTATTAGTCTAAAATGTCACGATAACTTTTTGAAGAATGTCTGCCTATAAATTTTATAATTCCCATGCTAGTTCTTAGATGGACCATTGTACACAGATCTAGTGGAGACTCATGGATTGGATGAGCTAAGTATACATGGAGCATTGGTGCAACAAGGATTTGTACATAAATTTCTAGCTCATATAGTAAATAATATATTATTTTATTGGTTCAAGTAATTTTTCACGAAAAAGGATCATTGTTGGATCATTTTCCTGGGAATCCCGTGATCGTGACCGTTCATCGTATATCGTGCGGTTAGTTTTTGTTAGATACTATTTAAAATGATTTCTGACCACATGATATACGATGAATGGTTACAATTTAATTAGGGAAATGATATTTACACACCTTATTTTACTTCTCACACACTTTTTTAATTTTCGGCCATCGGATCGGATTAATTGAAGAGGATCAATGGACACAAATTATCAAGGGGTGTGTGAGAAGTAAAATGGGGTGTGTGGATAGCACACCCCTTTAATTAAATATAATGTCCTACAATTCCAGTTCTTAATAATTTGTAGTACATTGAATATAATACATTTCAGGCCGAATCCCTTTCATCAAGTCTTCCATATCAAATAATTTGAGCTCTTAAAATTTGATCCAACGGCTAAAGTTATTATAACTTTTAAAGTGGGCCCCTATTTGTAGCCGTTTGATCAAATTTCAAGTGTCCGAATTAGTTGATGAGGATGACTTGGTGAAAGGGATTCGGAGAGGATCCCCTTCCTATATTCTAGACCACAATTAATTGGTTTTTAGATACAATAGATATTCCAAGTGACCATTTATTGCAGTGGTGGAAATGTATTGTGCCTTTGTATGACGGTGTGGGTTCAAATCTCGTCGATGATTAATCTAACATCTAATCTAATAAAATCTATTATTTGACAAAAAAAAAAAAAAAAGATACAATAGATATTCAAAACATACCATAAAAGTAGAGCACGAAAATATAACCTTTACACTATGTTTGGATGAATAAATTTAAAATTACTAAGAAATTTTAAAATGACGGAAATTGAAATGATGGGATTTTATTTCTTAAAATTTGTGAATTTTCTTATTTAGTTAACCTAAAAGAATAATGGAATTGAATACGGGATTTGTTATTTTTAAACTCTCAATCATAGAAATTGGAAAATGAATCTATTCATATGGAATTTAAATTTGGGAATTAGAAGTTCCAAATTCCAAGTTTTTTTTCTACGCAAAAATTTTAAATTTCTATGTTTACGAATTCAAACAAAAAAATTGGTGTATGCCAATTTATAAATTCTGATTTTAATTCAAATTCTAAGTTTATTTCTTTTATTCAAATATAATGATATTAAGAATCATGGGACTATAAAGATGGTTCAAAGCTAGAAGCCGCACGTTCAACCTTTTCAAACGAATCACCCGATATGCAATTGATTCCATAGAGAATTTCCAGATATTATTTCTCGTTAGAAGCGCTTATAAGGTCTGTCTAGTACCAATTTATAATTAAGATTAGTTTAGCATGAAGTTAGTCCTAAAATGTTAATGTGCTCAGTTTTATATTAGGCTTTTTGTTAGTTTCGAGTTCTCCATGTTTTTTATTGGAGTCTTTTTTCAAGTCTTTCTAAATCTTTATTTACTCATTTTTCCTTAAGCCTATGTTTCTTAATCACTAAACGGAGCATCTATAGGTCTTCGGTTCATGTGTCCAAACCACCTTAACTGATTTTTTCTCATTTTATCTTCAATTGTGGCTATTCTTACTTTATCTCGAATATCCTCGATTTTGTCATTTATCGCGTGCTCACACATCTAACGAAGCGGTTGCACCTCCTCTATACTCATTTTTTTCACGTATTGATGCTTAATTGCCCAACATTTCGTACCATAAAGCATTGATGACCTTATTGACGTCTTGTAAAATTGAAGGAGGATTCTCTTCCCTTCTAATCTTTCTCCCCTTCCCTCCCCTCATATTTAAACAGTTATGATTAAACCACGTCAACATCTTATATTGATTTTTTTATAGAGAGAGAAAGACAAAAAGAAAACTGTGAGAAGATGGGAGAGAATGAGATGGAAATAGGTGAGACGTCAATAAGACCATCAATACTTTATGGTACGAAATGTTATTGACGGCATGGCCCTTTGTAACCTAAAAAATATATAAAATTTGTTTCAAGGAACTTGGCTTAGTTCGGTAAGAGTAATCTCTCTTACACTTGGGCTCAATTTCAAATTCTCCATGAGGATGGAGTTGAGAATTACAACTAAGCGTTACGAGTGTTTTATTCATTAAATTTCCTACACCTGTTAGATTTATAAGTTTTATTTTTAACTCAATCATACATTTTCGTATAAGTGAGTGCAAGATGGCTTATAGTAGCAACTCTAAAAATAGAGAAGGTATTCCCACCGAGCATTACATAGGATTGGGCGCCACTTCCACAATATATTCAAATATCTGAATATCCAGAAAATACAAAAAAGAAAGAAAAAAGATCTCCCTTTTCAAGCAAAAAACTCCAGTCTTTTGGTTTCTGGACCTTCTTCTACAGCATTCTAGGGTTTCCCCATGGACGGCATGAACGACCATGAGAGAGCCATTGCTTGGCTTTGGGCCATTGAAGCCCTCGCTAGCTTCAAACAAGTTGATGCATCGCTTTTACATGGTCTATTCACAAACCCACATTCCCACTTCAATGTTTGATTCTTTCTTGTAATTTTTTCAATCAATGTGTGTGAGTGATTCGATTGCACAAGATTAGGTTTTTTTATGGTGTTTGATACTTTTTGGTGGCCTTTTCAGATTTAATTGCGATGGCTCCAACATTACCTGAAGATATTGGGAACAATGCAACGGAAAGGGTTGCTTTGAAATGTTTGGAGAGTTTGTTTAGTCCTTGTAATGTGATGAGCAGTGATGTTCCTTCTTCTCAGCATTCGAAAATCGGCTTTAATTTATCGGAAACTTGTGAAAATGTTCTCAAACGCATTGTAAATGAGGTAAGGTTCTCTACTTTTTGGCTTTTAAATGCAAGTAATTTGGATGAGTAGATAAAAAGGGTAACTTTTGTGGCAATCCATATTCTTTTGGTATTCGTACCCTTTAGGATTGAGTCTCCTTTTTGCTCACTCCCTAGCCTTGGTGTAGCCTTAGCCCCCTTTAAAATTGTGGCACGATCCGCACGACTCTAGAGTGGGGTAATGCTACACCATAGTAAAGGGGATGAGCAAAAAGGTTACTCTTCAGGAATTTTGGAAGTGGGTATGTTTAAATGTTTAGCATCAAATATTTCTTTTGTCAGACACCACAATCTGATTTGAGAACGGGCGGACCAGGGGTGTTAAAATGGGATATTCACCCCTTCATTATGCACAAAACAGCTTCTTTGCCTAATTGTGCATTGAAACAGGTAAACCTTTAGAATTTCTTTGCTTATTTTGCTCTTCAATCGATTTTTCTATATAGTCTACAAATGGATTTCTGGATTTTCTTTATGAACAGCTGAAAGATTCAATCCTTGCTGGTACACATCCACATGCGGATTTCTTGAGAAAAAAGGGCGGTTTAACACTTACAAGTGATGGTGATAGAGTTCCTTTGGGAGAGAGTAATCCTAGGCTCAATGAGAGTTGCTCTAATGCTCAAAACATGGGAATCAAAGGAAGCACAGATCCTCTGAATATTGAGCATGAGAGTAAACAATTGGAAGAAGACCCAGATAATGCAAATCTGTTGCCTTCCAAAAGGAATAGGATTGCCTCAGATGCTCGAATTATGGCAGATGAAAATCGTAGTAGTGTAAATGTTTCTGATGATTGGAATATCATATCAAAGAAGATGAAGTGTGATGCCTCTTATGTTTTACAGTCTACAGAGCAGAACCAAATTCGTTTACATGGAAAAGAACTATTGGGAGATTTATCTGAGAGGGAAAGGTGTGACTGTGCAGAAAATCAGATGGGAACGATGGATGGAAGCACGGCCTTAGAGAATGGTTGTGATGATTGTACTTCCTCAAATGGATATGGACAGAGCAATGGCGATGCAGTCCATAAGAGTCAGTCGGAAAATCATCTTAATGCCACTTCAATGCCTCAAGATAAATCTTTGGATGAAGCCCATCAATATTCATGTGCTGATCAAACCAAACATGATAGCTGTCTTCATCCGGAGCCAAGAGCATCAAGTGTTGCTCCTCCAGATGGAATCCAAAACAAGGTTTCTGCTAAAGTATTCAATTTTAACAGTGAGCACAATTTTCATTCTGCAGATGGACCCCAAGAGAAGAGCATTTCTGAAAATGGCAATGGCTTGGTTGCGAAGAATCTGGCAGATGAAAACCATAAAAGTGTAATTGGTTCTGATGATTGCTGTGTAATTGCCAAGAAGGTGAAGTGGGATCCCTCATATTTTTTACTGTGTATAGAGAAGAAGCAAATTCCTCTACATGGAAGAGAACTGTTGGAAGACTCATCTGAAAGAGATGCTCCACTTCCGGAGAGAGAAAGGTGTGACTCGGCAGAAAGTCAGAAGGGAACGATGGCCAAAGGCAAGGTCATAGAGGATGGTCATCATGATCTTACTACCTCAAAGAGGTGTGGACAAAGCACTGACCATGCAATCAATAAAAGTCAGTCAGAAAATCCCTGTAATACTGGTTCATTGCCTCGAGACACATTTCAGGATGAAGCCCCTATATATACACATATTGATGAAGTGAAAGATGATGGGGGGCTTCATCCTGAACAAAGAGAATCTTGTGTTGCTGCTCCAGATGAAACCCTGCATAAGGTTTCTGCTGAAGTATTCAACCGTAACAGTGAGCTGGGTATTCTTGTTAAAGTATCACTTCCTGCATCCACAGATGAACCCCAACAGAAAAGCATTGCTGATGAAGGTAAAGACGATGAACATTTTCCTGAACCAAGAGCATCAAGTATTGTTTCTCTAGATGAAACCCAGCATGATTCTAGCAGTGAGAATGATTCTCATATTAAAGTAGCACATCCTGCATCTACAGATGAGTCCCCAGAGAAGAGTATTGCTGATGAAGCGAGAGAGCTCTTGGATTGGCTATGTCATTATGAGTCAGAGATCTCGACTGATAGTGTTGAATTTCATGACGAAGAAGATTGATGTTGTCATGAAGAAGCATGCTTTGTTGAGCTCTCAATCCACATCCAGTCAATATTCCTCAGAGACAACCAAAAATCTTTGTAAGAAGCCTAATGAAGGCGGTCTGTTGATTTGTAATACCAGTAATTGCCCTGTTATGGTTCATGAAAACTGGCTGAGTTCCTCAGCCATTTTATATGAGAATGGTAACTTTAAATGCCCCTTCTGTTCATATACTCTTGATCTTACTGAATACCTTGATTCTAAGAAGAGAGCCTCAATGTTAAAAAAAAGACCTAGATGCATTTATTCATAGTCTGGAACATCAACCAGAGGAACGCATTGGTAGCCAGCACAACAAAGAGAATATTTGCATGAGAAAATTTCATGAGGATCTTAATGCATAAAACGAAAGGTCATCAGAATGGGCATTTGGGAAAGAGTGTAGAACATCTTGAAAAGCAATGTGAAGAACGTGCAAATGAAATCAATGACCTTCAATTGCACAATATTACAGGTACTGAGCAACAAGTAGCACCTTCTGGCTCTTGTACTCGTTTCAATTCAGAGTGTAGAGATGAAAGTGTAACTCTAATTGGTATAAACCTTGATGTATCAACTGGTGAAAAAGAATGGAGAGAAAAGGTGATACAGACGTGCATATCTGTGGTAGGGCTTGATGGATGTCAGAACCAAGTACCAGCTAAAGGTGATACTTTGTCCAGCAAAAATGCAGTAAGCCTCCTTGCTGACAAAAGACAAGCTGTAGTAACTGAGCAGGAAGATCTGCAGCGGCACATTACCAATGCACAAGAGGTACAAGGCCATGCACTTAATATTGATTCCGAGCAAGCTGGTGCTCGAATATCTAGCACTTCCAATTACAACGCAAGACTCCGGATGAAAAATCCCTGGTAAGTTGTTGATAAAGTGTTTTCATTTTTATTTTCTTTGTAGTGTCTACCTTCATGCCTTATAATGTAAAGTACAGGCTACATGTTCAAATAATGTCTGAATAAAGTCAGTAATTATGTTACCCGGATCTTAAATTGCAGTCCTGTATTTTCCCCAGTAAACCATATAATTACCTGTTGGTTAGAAAGCAGCGATTTGAGAATTCGATTGCAGTAGTTGTTAATTTAGAATAATCACTTTTTTGTGTCTTGTAGCACATCCCTACCATCTCTCAGTTAAGGCAGATAAAAGTTCCGTGGAGCGTTGAGGAGGAAGAAATGCTCAAGGTTCCTGGGTTTCTTTCTAATTTACCTTTATAAGTTATATTAAAGTTCTATTTCACATTTATTACCTGATTGTAGTTAATTAATTGCATATATGTTGCTTCAAAATATTTGATTACAACTCTTTTATACTACTGCAGAAGGGAGTTCAAACATTTTCAAAAATTGATGAAAGAACTATTCCATGGAAGCAAATATTGGAATTTGGTGGTTCTGCGTTTCTGCATAGTCGTACCCCAGTGGAACTTAAGAATAAATGGAGGAACATATGTAGGCGGCGTGTGAAGTTGAATTGAAGTGGTCAGTTACATATAAGAATATGCTCTCTTATTTTGGTCCACTTCTGAAATTTCATTTGTCACAGTACCAATTTCGTAAGAAACTATAAATACTGGGAACTTTTGAAACAGGCAATGACTTAGCTTCTGCCAGTTTAGTTTATAATTCAAGCTTGAATTTCTAGTTTTTGGTTTTTATCTTTATATCCTACAAATTCATTTACAAATAGTTTGATGCTAAATTTCCCCTTGATATTGACATCAGGGATCTCATGCGCCAAGTTTATAACTGAATAATTAACTGACTTCAATACCTGTTAATCTATGCTGCCTCCTCCAGAATATTTCCATTCCAACACATGATCTAGGATTCCCAATTGATAGAGTTGTATTGAAATCAACTCGAAAACTAGCCGTCCTTTTTAAATAGTTATTCTCCTTCATTGCTCATTTGTTGTGTCATCCTATTTTATCGATGTTACCCTTTTATGATAACTTCAACCTTCAATTGCTTTCAATCTGACCTCAGTCTTGCTCTGAATCCTTGACATAGCCATGGTTCTCTGCCCTTAAAGTATGATTGCTTGATAGCATGTCTGCCATCTTTTCCCAGCCAGTCAAATCCCCCACCACCTTGGTGTTTAATATAATATATCTCAGGACAACTCTCGTGTCCAGTTTCTGAAAAAAGTGACGATGAATGTGGCCCTATTGTTTGTGTATTTCTCAAACCAAAATCTTTTGCATTTTCTTAAAAAATTTAATTGATTTGTCACAGATTCTCAATTTTACTTTTTTACTGTCTTTTTTGGTTCCAAGCAGAATTATTTTGCCCCTACTTAATTCTATGTTAAATGCCATCTATATTGCAGGTGATGAATTTGATAGGTGAAGAGAACATAAAAAGTAGCAGTTGTAGAGGATGACATGATTGACACAGCTGGTTAGTTTTTAATTTTAATGCTCTAATGCTTTCTATGAAATAGAACATATCGAAAAGTTTTGAAAAAAAATTATATGAAGAACACGATGAGGAGCCATTCCTCCTGACAAGCTGATACATATACCGAAGTGACTTAAACATAATTTCCCGCCATCCTTGTCTGTGATGTTAACATGTATGATTAATGGAACAAATAATATTGAGTTGTTGACTTCGATCATGTCTTAAAGAAAATCATGGGAAGTGAAAAATATGTTCTTTCAGGATCCAAGATCTTAGTAGAGTTTCCAATTTAAAAAAATCAGCGTGCTCTTAAGGAGAACCCAGTGTTTGGATCATTTTGGCCAGGGAACTTATATTCAGTTCGTAGCAAGGTTCGGGAATGATTGGAAAAAATGTACTAATGACATTCCTCTCAGGTTTGAATTGCAAAAGGTTTCTCAATTTGTTGTGATCACGAATGAAGATGTACAACTGCATAACTTGACTGCAAATGTGGGTACCATAATCATACGCTAATTGATATGTTCGAATTGCCAATCAAGAAGGGACCATGTGTTTGAACTCAACTATGGAATTAAATTTTTTGAAGAACTGAGAATCCTCCGTTCATTGACAGGAACATCTGATAGCTTATTTTATTTCTGTTTTCTTGTGAATTCAACTTGATACTTGTCTTGGGCAGTTTTGTGGCAGGTAGCTTTGTGTTTTGGTATTTTGTGGTTCCTCCAAGTTGGACGGGCGACGGAGATTATCTTTGTTATGCCAAAGGGGATGATGGGCAGCGTTGAGGAAGTAGGAGTTAGTCATTGCCAGCCCTTGATGTTATTTATGCTGTGCTGACATGCTATTTTGGGGATGTTGTCAATCTGTTAATAGAACTGCATGTAAATATTATCAACAGGTGACAAGACTGTCTTGTTGCCATAATTATTTTGAAAAAAAAAAAAAAAAAAAAAAAAAAAAAAAAAAAAAGAAGCTTAAGAATCCATTTGGCAACATTTTATTTTCTCTTCTTATTCTTCTTTTGAATATTGAAGAGAAGCAAAACGTCCAAGGTGAATGCTACTGAACTTTTCAGTCAAATCTTCTCGTTCTATCTTCTCGGGGTTGTTCTTCTCAATATGCAATGTTGCATGATAATCAAAACCGTTTACTTCTAGTTCTCTCTTTGAATATCAACTTTGCAAAAAATAATCCACATCAGAACCCGTATAATGGTAGGATTAGTGGTCAAAATTTCAATGTTTAACCTAAAAACATGGCTTGTCTATTTATTGGATAACTGTTTGATGACTAAATGATTTTAGATTTAGTCATTTCGACAGTGCCTTTAATGCGTGGCCTACAAATTACACGCTTTAGATCACCGTGCAACATTTTAGGATGTGAACGAGAGTTGAGAAAGTTCAAATGAGAAAGGTCGTGCATTCCTCAACGTACAATATGGTTCTCAAAATCATCATGTACCACCATAACATCAAACTTCATGCTTCTCCCTCTTCTTCTAGAGAGAGAGAGAGAGGGAGGGAGGAGAAGCAGCATGGGATAAAGGTGAGTAGAGTCCCGGATATCAGGTTGTGAATGGCAGGAAAACATGTGAAATAGAGCTCGTGAAAATGGAAAATGTTGTGAGGTGGATATTGTCTCTCTGAATTTAAACCAGTAGGACAAAAGAAGCAAACTCCTCCTTTTCCTAATTTCCCACAGAAACAGAATCCAAGGGAGGAGACAGTCAATACTGTTAATTACTACATTCAAAGAATTCACTTCCTTCCATCACATTATATGTTATAAAAGTCAAAGCATTTTAGCTTTACCAATAATTCCGATCACCACCACAACATTAAAATCATCCAACTTTCAATCTTAGGCAACGTTAAAAGCATATTTCCAACTTTATTAGGTATCAAATCAAGTCGAATTCGAGACTTCTCACATATAACTAAAAAGAAATAATACTAGACCTCAGTACTGCTGACATTTTATTTTGTTTTAAAACTTGATCTTGATTGTATTCGGTATCAAACTCTTATTGTGTGATCATTTGACAATATAAGTTAGAATAGTATAACTTGGACTAGGGGCCAGAAGGTAGACATACAATTTGGGGATATTCAACTGTTGAATAAAAATATTTGAGAAATATTTCATAATTATATTGCTTTAAGTGTCCCATGGTTCTTGGGTAATAAAATTAGAAAATTCAATTAAGACACAAAAATGCTTTTGTAAGCGATAATGAGTAAGTATTAAGATTCATTTAATTTGATTTGCCACCTAAATAGTTACCGATTTAGTTTGATTTGTCATTTCAGTGATATATTAACAACTCAATGGGTGATTTATCACCCCTAATCATGATCCATCCTTCCACTATACCTCAAGTATCTCTTACAAAATTTATGGTATCCAACCAACTATGAATTTGGATCATTCATTCATGTGAGGATCAACTTGATGAATAATTCCTAGATGTAGGCTCGTAGATTATAGTATCAGTTTAAAATATTGTTTTACAAGGTAAAATTAAAAAATTATAATTCACATTTACAGTCTGATAATATAAACATCTTATTATGTTCAACAAGAGAACTCTTGTGTGAAACTATTTAGAACTTTTTCCACTAAAATGTAAGATGAGTAAACTTTAAGTTATGTTCTGATGCAATTATAAAAACAAATGTGAGAATAGTCAATCTCTCCCTAAACTCTTTGTTACCAAAAAAAAAAAAAAAAAAAAAAAAGTTTTATGTATTGATGCATTTATTTGATAATAATAATAATACATTATTACCATTCAATATTCAAATATATATATGAATGCTCAATGCATTTGAAAGTTTACTAACTCAAATGTCTCCTTTCACTGACTCGCCTAGAGCCCTCGAAATCTCAGAGTTAGGCCTCGAGAGAACATTTTCCTACCCAACCCATCCATCACATACTGCCACGATGCCATTTTATATTAATTGAATTGTTGGCCAAAGGTCAAACAAAAAGGACTAGAGAAAAACAAAATTAAAAAATAGAAATTTAAAATCACACTCACTAGTGTAAGAGAAGAACAACGGTCACATGCATGAGCTTGAAAACTTTGGGCAAACGTGACAACATTTAAACCAAACTGCACTCTCATTCACTACATATCCCGCGCCTTTCCCACCATTCTATACAACACACTCACACTCCCTCTCACTCTCACTGAGCTTCTTCCAACCCTCCCCCCAAAACCACCATGGATAACAGCAGAAAATCTCCGTTGAAGCCATGGAAGAAAGGCCCAACGAGAGGCAAAGGCGGCCCTCAGAACGCCTCGTGTGAGTACCGAGGCGTTCGGCAAAGAACTTGGGGCAAATGGGTGGCTGAAATCAGAGAGCCTAAGAAGAGAACCAGGCTGTGGCTGGGCTCTTTTGCTACGGCTGAGGAAGCTGCCATGGCCTATGACGATGCTGCCAGGAGACTCTACGGCCCCGAAGCTTTTCTCAACCTTCCTCACCTTCAACCCAGCTCCAATCCTTCACTCAAATCTCAAAAATTCAAGTGGTTCCCTTCCCATAACTTCATTTCCATGTTTCCTTCGTGCGGTTTGCTCAACATCAATGCGCAGCCGAGCGTTCATGTTATTCATCAGAGGCTCCAAGAACTTAAGCAAAATGGGGTTCTTGGTCACACCACCCCTTCCTCTAGTTCTTCCTCCTGTGATTCAAAACCTGAGGCTCACATCCTGAGTGACAAAACCGAGATGCGAAATGTTGCAGAGAAGGAGAAAGATGTGGAAATTTCATCTGAAAAAGCGGCGGAAGACCACCAGGAGAAGCCACAGATGGATCTCAATGAGTTTCTTCAGCAACTGGGAGTACTGACAAAGGAGACACAATCAGAGGCAACCGAGACAACGGAAAGTTTTACTGCTCCGGAATCTTCAATCGGAGAAGTTCATGATGAATTCGGACCCTTTGCTGCCAATAATATCAATTGGGATGCATTGATTGAGATGCACGGGATTTCAAACCAAGGAGCAGATGCTGGTGCCTTTCAAGTTTATGATATGAATGAAGAGCTTTCCTTCCCCACTTCCATTTGGAACTTCTAAGAGAAAATTAAGAATAAGCTTGTTTAACAAGTTGGAAGAGTACGACGTGCTTTCACTGGAGGAGTTTGTTAGAGATCGGCAATTAGTAGTTGCTCATAGGCTATAGGTTAGCGAGTAATGTGTTCTTCCCTTATAGTCAGCATGTTATGTCGTTAGACTGTCAATTTGCTAATCCTCTCCATCCATTACTCTTCAGTGACATTTCTGATCATGAATGTATACATGTCGATGATCGAAAAAATTAGTTCAGTCTTGCCCTAGTAGTTGCAAGGGCTGAACCAGAGGTGCGATTTCCTTTAGTATGAATCAAAGTATCGTTATGCTTACAGAGTTCATCAAACAAATTTCAAACATATCGCATACCATAACATTAGATAATTAGAGAAGAAAAAGTGCTTTAAACAAATTTTCAATCGGTAAATACCATTAAGAACTGTAAGTTGTGTTTAATAGGTGTAAGTTTTCCTCTGCCTCAAAAGCAGTGGAAGATCTTAGGGGAACTATATCCCCGAGGTATGGTATCGATCACCAAACACAGCCGGTTTGTATGGTCATTCATTGCTATACTCTGAGGCACTTAGATACTCACCATGTTCCTCAAAATACTCTATTAAACGCTTCAAGAATGCATCACTACTCACCGTCTCCGTGTCACATACAAGACAGCATTGCCTTCTTGACCGTGTTACAGCCACGTTCATTCGCCTGTGGTCCTTCAGAAACCCCACCTGAATTATTTTGAAAAAGTTCAACATTTATTATCTTGTATAATAGAATATTTTGGTAAATGAGAATCTGAGATGTCTACCGTCAAAATATGAGAAATTGCATTAGCAATGGTACCAGGGATACAAGAATACCTCTTTTTTTGAATTTGACCGAACCATTGAAATAATGATGGCTTCCTTTTCCCGACCCTGGAAGCCGTCAACTGTTGAGATTTCCAAATCCTTTAGCTTGTCGTCATTGCTTCTCAACATCCTGAGTAAGACAACCTGCAATACTAGGCTTGATATAAGCAAAAGAACAGACAAAATCGACGCCATTGCTACTAGTATTTTCATGGAATGCTTGATTTTCATTTATCTAGAAGCTATTGTAATCCTTCACCTTATTTAGAGAAATAAAGCTCACAGAAAGAAGCTATTGCTTACAAGAACATAGGCAAAAGAAAAGACACTTTAGTACCTGTGCAGCATAAGGAGTGATAATTCCAATATCAGAAGCCTGAACACCGCTTTGAACAAGCCGCTTGGCATGGGCAATAGCAACATCGGCTTCACCCTCATTCGAAGTACTTTCTTCTTCGTCCTTCTTTTCTTCCATGTCACACCTGACACCAATCAGCATGAACGGGTCACAACAGTCGTACAAAAAGGCGTTTCTTTTATTACGAACTAGGAAGGCTGTAAAGACAATGTCGTATAATATCTACTCATTTCTCACAACCTTCAAAATAGCAGTGAATCCTACACTAAGCTAAGATAATGGCACTTCATGTGGCGTTACCATGGTACTATGAATGATAGTTTTTGAAACGACATGATAAAATGTCACAACTCACAACACCACGTAGGATTGGCAGTAATTTCGAATAAGTGATTGTGTTTGTTCCATTAAGTGTTTGTATCAAGCATTTTCAGATGAAATTAGCATGAAATAACCAAACAAATGGTAAAATAACCATCTCAACATAAAGCATATTGCTCATGTTGTATCGTGTCATCCATTCGACAAGTAGGCTATGTTTACCTCAGGCCTAAATAACACCATACCTTGTCGGTCGTGTTTGTGTCTTTGGTTGTGTGTGCGTAGTGTCATTTCAGTATTTGGAACAAAACACCAAAAACACGAAGTGGCGCC